GTCTATAATAATGCGTTTTTCAAAGACTCTGATTCATTCAGGAATGATACACCACTCTATGCGCCTGCTGCGAGTCAGTCCCACAACGGTTCTGTGACTTTGGTTTAGTTGGCAAAGAAAATAACAATTTTGTATGCCATCAGTTAGCTGGCCAATACTCAATATTAATTCAATAAACTTAGTTTATGGTCTAAAACTACCTGTTCGCATAAATTAATAGTGGTCTGCGCTTGTCTACAATACATTCTTCCCACGCTGCTGATTTTAATAGGTGGTTAGCTATAATAATTCAGGTGGTGTGCCAAAGATGTAGGCTAGTACACTCTTAAAAATAAAGGTGCTTCAAAAGGTTCTTCAAGCGATGCCATAGAAGAACCATTCAGTCAAAGGTTCTTTAAAGAACCATCTCTTTCTTACCTTTTTGTAATATGAAGAACCTTCTTTTGCCACAAATAACCTTTTGTGAAACAGACAGGTTCTTCAGATGTTAAAGGTTCTTTATGGAACCATTTAGACAAAAAGGTTCTTCTATGGCATCGTGAAGCACCTTTATTTTTAAGAGTGTAGGTAGTTGTGAGTGCAGGTGCGAAGTACATTCATATTTATGAGATACTATTTCAGGGGTAGGTTGCAGAATTTATGCCTACACAAAAGAAAGCTCTGTCTAGGCTCTGCCTCGATACGTTTTCTGTCAAGCCATTCATTAACCTGGCTGTTTAATGAAGAGAAAGAGATCAAATGTAGTAGAAATAAACACGTTAAGAATTCATAGAAGCGGAGGACTATGTTTATTATGTTTTTTTTAGGACTCTTAAATGTTTGGTTGACCAATCAGCGGAGAGGGGCGTTTCATTCACGCCCACATGTAGAGATCGAAGTTGCTTATTCGTTTTCTATCCCTGAACGTTAACAAACGAAAAATGAAGCCGGATTCTTGATTTTTAGTTTTGTTTGAACAATTGAAAAACTAAATATGTGCCGTTTTTCATTTTTCAGATTGCAATATTAAATTAAAAAACGAATGATCGGAAGATACCCTGATTATTAATAAGTGCTGTGTTCGAATGATACCCTGATTGACCCGGACCCAGCTTGTTCAAATTACACCCTGACTAGGAATAGGGATTTTGGCTGTACAAGCACGGTCTCTCTATGTCTCTTAGTGAAAATGAACTATGTGACTTGTGCTTTCCATGTCCTGAACAATGTTTGTCGAGCTGCTTACCCGGAATTCTCCCAAATCTTCCCATGGCCACTTCAGGCCTTTGGCCACAAAAACAATGTTCATAGTTCATTTGGCAGTATTATGCTTGGTGACCACATCCACATACAATACAGTTTTATATATATATATATATATAATTTCAACCATCGGTCAGAAGTATATTCTGATTAGATGATAACTTTTTGACAACATTTCATTCAAGATTGAAAAATTCTAGCGCAAGAGCACAGGACACCGTTAGAGCGCGCACACAGAAGACAGCACTGTATATTGAGAGCCGCTCTCGGTCCAGGTGTAGAAGTTCTTCTTCTTTTTATGACGATTGGCAAACAACTTGTAGAATCTCTTCTTCTTCTTGTTCTTGTTCTTGTTCTTGTTCTTGTTTTTTGGCGGGTGTAGAATCTCGTTTAGGCTTGTAGAATCTCGTTTTATTTGGCGTGAGATTTTGATGGGCGCAGTGAGAGCGTGTGTCTCTGCTTGCGAGCTTGATTAATTACCGGGGCTGTATCTCCGCCCCAAAGACGCTTCAATTGCCTGCAATTAGCCTGTTCCAATTATTATTAGGCTAAGAGCGTTTAAATAAAGCCTGCAACAGTGCTGCTAATTAAGCAGTTGAACAGCTGTTGAGCAGAAGTGGGTTTTTTTTTGAAAGAGGTGCTCGATTTCTGTCTGGACTTGGATGATCGCTCTTCATGGCTGTAATGGATATTTGTGTTGGGAAGGGGTTCATTTTAGCCCTTTTCTTCTTTGCTGTTGATGGCGGGAGATCAGGGCCGATCGCTGTTGATCATACAAATATTTGGAGTTTGTTTAAAAGCTTACCTCACGTTAGCATCAGGTAGCTAGCCAGTTATCTAACAATTTTTCAAATAGGCTATTATAATTTTGTAACTCTAATTAATGTTCTTTATTTTTAAACTAAAATGGCCTGTTCTCTGATTTTGCTGTAAACGTATAAAATGCATTGGTTTGTCAGACTAGGGGAATTTTACATTGGCGTCTAATGCTCTTGGCGCTCTTAAATGGGCAGCCACTTTCTGTGAACGTTCAACCATGTTCTGACCTGATTTTGAACCTATGTTTTCACAGGTTATTTATAGTGACGTTTCCTGGAGTGATTGAGTCCGGTTCTGAAGCCACATTGTGTGCAAGTCTTCTGAAACCCCAAGAGAAACTCACAATGACCATTTCTCTGCTTGAGAAAAGTGTGATCACACCACTTGTGCAGCAGAGCTCTCGGATGGCGTTTCACCGATGCTTTAGTTTCCAGGTCTGTCATGATGTGGATCAAAAAAACAAACATTTTCATCTGGTTTGCTGTACATTTAAATGGGCATTTCTCTATAGGCTCCTCAAGTAGATGGAGAATCTGTGCAGAAGCTTCAGGTGGAAGTTAAAGGGAGGGGCTTCAACGTGACTGAAGAGAGGAAAGTCATGTTCAGACGTTATCCTGCCTTTGACTTTCATTCAAACAGACAAACCCATCTATAATCCAGGACAAGCGGGTGAGCTACAAATGACGCTTGGATAAATATCAGCTGTAGAAAGCCCAATATATTGCAAGTTCTGATCATTTCAAGTGCATTGTGTAATGAATGGAAGTGTTTATTGTAGTCTCGTTTTGCAGTTAATTTCAGAGTTGTCACCATGGATACCAAATATGTGCCTCTTGATCAAATGGTAAGGCCTGATTTTTCATATTGAGTGATCTGAACAATTGCAAGTGCACAAACTTGTGCCCTTCACTGTGCAACTACAATTGTGTTTTTTATTTTTTTCTCTCTATTCATGTTGCTACATGAGCATGTTTACTTTTAAATGCCTATAATTACACTCTTTGTGTCTTACAGTACAGTTTGGTGGTAGTAGAGGTGAGAACTTGCTCTTGGGCAAGTCTTTGAATGGAGCTGATTTATTTTATTTATATATATATATATTTTTTTTTTTTTCCCCTGAGCTGTTAATTGGTTTTTATAGGACAATCTTAATAACCGGATCGGTCAGTGGACAAATGTTACCTCAAGGTGGATATTGGAGCTTTCTCACAAGTTAAACCCTGAAGCTCAGGTTGGGATGTACACACTGAGAGCTTTTATTGGTGAGAGAATGACCTCCCAAGTTTGAGGTGAAAAAATATGGTAAGTCGTGTACGGTATGCAACTGTACAACAATAGATCTGAGGTCTTAATGTAAAGCGTTTTGTTTCTGGTTTAGTTTTGCCCAAGTTTGATGTGGCCATAAATACACCACAGATGTACAGCATTGCAGATGTGGGACTGAAAGTTGAGGCTTGTGCCAAGTGAGTGACTCTTATTCTCATCTTGTGGCTTGTCAGTTTTTGATCTTGTTCCTTGTGCTGTTCCCAGATACACATATGGGCAGCCTGTACCTGGTCAAGTGTTGGTGGAAGTGTCGTGGTCCATATGTTGTGGTTCCTAAGTTGACCCGTCAGTGCCTGAATGAAACCGCTAGGGTATGTGACTCCTGCTGTGCAGCAGAGGGCTTTTCTTGTGCTTTTGCTTGACTTGAATGTGGGTTTTTTTATTTTATTTTTTTTTTATCTTTGCTCTGCTACCAGATGAATGACACTGGCTGTGCCTCCCTCACCATCAGTACGTCACTCTTTTTCAACCCCAGATTTGAGAATCTGCAAGATTTATTTTCTGTTACTGTGAATGTCACTGAGGAGGGAACAGGTGAGATCTGGGCTGATTGTAACCAGTGGCTAGTGTTCTGAGGAAGCTGACTTTTTATTCCGTGCATAAATTATTTTTTCCCCCCCAGATGTAGTGATGTCAATCTGCAACTGTGGCCATTACGTTTGAAGTAGGCAAGGTCAAGTTTTTGGCCCTCCCAGATTATTTTTAACCTGGAGAAATGATTAATGGAAAGGCAAGTAAAAGTTCGTCCTTCATTGCAGAAGACTTCACATTGGTTCCCTTTCAGAACCGCAATCTTTCACAACAGATCTCCATGGGTCATTTCAATGGGACTCCAATCATGAACACAGCGGTGTATCTGCTGGATGGTAACAGCTGGCCCAATAAAATGCTGCTGAATCTGACCACAAACCAGAATGGACTGGCCACGTTCTCCCTCAACACTGCTAAGCTTGCTAAAGCGGCTCTGAATCTGGTGGTAAGATTAGCTTATTTTTTTTTTCCTTTTTTAAAATCAAGACTTCTCTTGCATGTACCTAAATTAATTTGTTCTCCAGGCAAGTGCAACTCCAGCCATTGTTTATAATTCCAAGTCTGCATACTTCGCTACAGATAGGAGGGTTGTTCAGCTTCTCCAACCTGGTTCTTCCAACAACCCAACGATTAGTGCACTGAGTATAGTAAAGTTCGAGCAACCACTCAAGTGTGATGCTGTGTTTCCCATAACCGTGAAGTATTCATTTGTTGGAGAGTCTGGCGGCTACAGTACTGACATTGTCTATATGGTGAGTGGACATCAGTTTTGTTTTCCTCCAATGAGTTCAGTGGTCTGTCCAGCACCTATTTATGCACCTGTTTCTTTTGTCAGGTCTTATCCAGAGGAGTGATTGTTCTCCATGGATTTAAGAAGATCACCATGAGTGCTTTTGATACAGTCACAAGTGGCACAGTGTTCCACCTATCTGTCCGTGTTGATATGGCTCCAGTAGTGCAGATTCTGGCCTTCTCTGTTCTGCCCAGTGAGAATGTAGTTGCTGCTAGTGCATCCTTTGACACCGAAATGTGTTTCCAAAACGAGGTGTGACGAGCACTAGCATATTTCACTTCATGGAAGCCGTGATGTGTCCGAAGCGTAGTAGCTGGTTCTTGTTGCAGTTTTCTCCAGCTACTGCCATTCCTGGTGAGGAAAACACTTTGACGGTCTCTGCTCAAGCAGGATCCCTGTGTGGCATCTGTGCTGTTGATCAGAGCGTCCGTATCATGGAGCCAGGAAGACGTTTGAGTCCTAAAATGGTATCCATGTGCTGGAATATTTATTGATCGAGTTCTGTTGTCTATTGGACAAGCCTAAGCTATTATGATGTGGTGGTCATTATAGCCGTTTTAGTAAACTAACATTAGTGCATTTTAATTTGACAATGCACTAACTAACATTTGCTTCATGTTCCCAGCTGTTCGACTTGCTCCCGATGCGATCGGTTTACCCATACAGTGTTGAAGACGAACAAGAGTGCATACATTTTCAACCCCGTCGACCGGCTCCTATAAGTGATGCCTACACAACCTTCAAGGTAGAAAACCATTCAGGACCATGCACTCAATGAATCGTATATTCGCAGATTAAGTCCATATTTTGACATCTTACTCTGACAGCGCGTGGGAATGAAGATCGCAACAAATATCGCTGTATTAGCCCTTCAATGCCATGACTATAATCACCACTTCCCTGGAGGTAGGCCTATACAGAGGCCGTTCTTTCCTTGAATGATTTCTGCATGACGTGGTGAACTGGGTTATGGGAGGTTATTTGTTTATCTCTGTGGATTGGTTAATTGTTGTTTTTATAAATTCAAAAAGGGGGGCTGTTGATTTCTTTCTAGCAAGTGCATGCAGTAGGCAAGAACTTGTGCTTAATTGCGCCTTTTAGCCTTTGAAAGGAATGATGCAGTTGCTTTTGGTGCGGCTGCTGCTGCTCTGGAAGCAGAAAATGCTGGAGTCAAGCACTCCCCATCCTGCTTTACCTGGAAGCCACAGAGCAACTCACAGCAGCCATTCGACAGACCGCTACAGGCTACCTTCAAAGTGGTATGGATGTACCTTGAAAATGTTGAAGACTAAATTCCAAGGAGGTTTAGTCCTGCTCTAACCATTGATTGTGTCAGACTGCATCACACTTCCTGACCAATTTCCATGTGGTTTGACCTGAACAGGATACCAAGGACAACTGAACTACAGGCACAGTGACGGTTCATACAGCACGTTTGGTTCTGATGAATCGAACACGTGGTGCACCGTACAGTCCTCAGTGGTAGGAGAATCTTATAGCTTTGATGTGAATCAGGACAACAGGCTGCTGTATCAGGAGAAGCCGCTGAAGAGTGTTCCTGGCAGATATAGTGTTAGCGTGAAGGGATCCTGCTGTGTCTGTGCAGGTCTGCATCTTCACCTTTTCCTCTTTCGGTTTCGATTGTGCCCATCCTAATTCTGTGTTCTCTGCGTTCATACTGTAGGTTGCGTGTTTCTACAACATCCCGACACCTGTTAGAGTTGCCAGATCACTGAGTGTTGAAGTGAAGGTGACTGGAGACTGCCAAGGAGACAATCTCATGGTGAACTTCACGGTGACGTAAGAACAGCTTTGACTGTCCAGAAACCGTTCCAGTTGATAGATTTTAAACTGGGAAGCTGGTATCGTTTTAATTTTTGTACCATTGATTAAACCCCTGTATTTCCCCACCTTCATTCAGATACGATGGCCCAAAATCAAGCACTAACATGGTTCTAGTGGACATTAAGCTCCTGTCAGGTTTCTCCGCAGATACGTCACTGGTTCGTATGAGTTTAAGATGATTTGGAAACTTCAAAGATGCCTGAAGCTGTTTTTTAATTAAAAAAAAAAAATAATTCTCTCTCAGCTTGGATCTCCTCCCAATTCATTTGTCCCACTAGTGGAGCGGGTTGATGCTGGAGAAGATCATGTCCTAGTGCATCTGAAAGAGGTGAGACTGCATACACTGGGTATAATCTCTAGCTGCCATATTCTGGTGTGTACTGTTCCACCGTTCTGTCTTGCAGGTTCCCAAAGGCGTCCCCATGACTTATAGTCTGCTGCTGAAACAGATTCTTACAGTGAAAAATCTCAAGCCAGCGGTCATCAGTGTTTATGACTACTATGAGCCAAGTATGCTTTTATCCTGATCCTGCTTTGCTCTGACTGCATTCCCTCTTGAACGCAATCCAGCTCCTTTTTCTGTTCCCCTTTCAGGTGATTCGTTTGAGACTAAATGGGCCGGTTTTTAACCTTTTAGGGTTTTTTTTTTTTTTTTTTTAAGCAGGACTCCAAATGGAGTCTACATGCTCTTGTATTGTAATCATTTGTAGTGTTTATTGCCAAAATGTAAGCGTTTGAGTAGCAACTATACATTTGTACTTGAGCATCCCTAACTTAAAATTTAGATTGAATTCATCACAATTAGCAGTGACTTTGCCAACCATAGTGGTACTCTGCTGTATGTCTTGTTTAAGCGGAATTACAAACATTTGATATTTGTGTGACTTGAGATCTTTATAAGAAACTCACTCAAGGTGCCGGTTCTTAACCTTAAGGTTTATTTTTTTTTTATTAAAAGCAGGACTCCAAACGGAGTCTACATGCTCTTGTATTGTAATCATTTGTAGTGTTTATTGCCAAAATGTAAGTGTTTGAGTAGCAACTATACATTTGTACTTGAGCATCCCTAACTGTTTTTGTTTTAATTCGTCACAATTAGCAGTGACTTTGCCAACCATAGTGGTACTCTGCTGTATGTCTGGTTCATGGTGTTTTAGAGAACTGCCTGACTTTTGCTAATATCCTTAATACGTTGTACAAGCAATTATTTGAACAATATTTAACTAATTTACATCTAAATTATTATTATTTTTTTACACCAGTTTTTTGTCTTTTTTTTTTTTTTTTAAGGTGTTAAGCAGTTTAATGAGATTAGAAAATGTAACCCCCCCCCCCTACTAATGTTTAGTTTATTTTGTTAGTTACATACTAGGCTACTGTTAATAAATACATAAAGAACAGCTTGTCCATGTAGCATTAATGGCTTGATGATGACTAATGGTTACTGCTTTGACATTACAGGGACCGATGAACACACTCCGCTCCTTATCCAGTGGAGAGTGGCTGATGAAGCCTTCACTGGAAAGCCTAATGCAGCCTTCGAAGGTTGAGAGTAAGTAAACAAGTTATGTAAAATGTGCTTTTATTCAGGTGCTGTTTACACTGAACGTAAATACTAACACTTCAAGCAAAGGTCTTACTGCCTTTTGTTTGATTTCTGTGCATTTATTGAGAGCTTTTGTGAGCAGGGACTTGAGGGCAAAATTTCTGCCGCTCAAAGTCAAAAGAAAGTGGGCGAACCAAAAACAAATGTACAGTAGTTTTTTTTTTTTTTAACCCCAATTTTTATTAGTTCATGATTTGATCATGCTAATGTTTTTCCATGTCATAGTAATGCAGTAATCTAATGAGTGTAATTGTCTTGATATTGTGCTTTTCAGACCCGGGATATCCAACAAAGATATGGAGGAACTTCCCTTTGTGGTCGGTGATGGCCTGCAGCTGAACGGAGTGGAACAGCTTCCTATTACAATAGCATGAGGCATCACTTGCTGGTGGCTTGATCCGGATGTGGCATCCGTCTATTGCACCAGCTACCATGTGGAAAACTGGAGACCCAGCCAGCTGGGCAAAACCTGCCTCCAGGTCATCCGGGGTCGGGAAAGCAATCAGCCTCAAAACATTGACTAGCCTGCTGATTATGTGCACAATGTCATGCACCGTGGACTTTGGGATGTTAAAGCCCAGTGACACCAGCCTGTGCGATGCTGCATGGGCCAGTAGAGAAACACCAGCACCTCAACATCTTTTTCCCAGCCATGGTCAGAATCTGACTTCAAAGCAGCGATGCGGGACATGATGGACTGTCGTGAAAGCTGGAGGTTTGGATGGAGGTCAGATCAGTCTTCGAAATACAATCAAAGAATTGGCGCGACAGTAGGTTGTAGGGCTCACAGTCTGTGGGGTTTTTATTTTTTATTTTAAGAATCTGTATGGGTGTAAATTGTATGTGTTCGTTCTCTCCCTCTCTAATATTAATTCATGTCTTTTGTTTGTCCTGTGTATTTGTAACAAATTATTTTATTTTGTTGCTCCAAATGAGCCTCATGTTCAGACATGACTTTTTATTTTGAGGTAAAATTTGCTAGCTCAATAGGTGATTGTACTTACCTTATTTAATGATTTACAAGCTGTTGATGAAGGCGTGATCCTTTTTAGTCATTTATCAGAGGCTTTTATCCAAAGCGACTTACAAATGAGGACAACAGAAGCAATCAATTGTAGTATTAAAACAACTAAAAACAGATCCAAAGCTAAAACTTTATAAATACTACCTATACACATTTTAAAAAATAAAGAGCTTAAATAAAAATGACAAATGCATACAACCATTTCATAAAGCTAAAAACAATTCAGAATAAAGAACAAAAGATATGGGAGTATAATGATTCTAACACAACATTAAGCCAAAAAACAACTACATATGTGTGTAAAACAACTACATATATGCCACCTCCGGTCTTCGAGACCGCCACCCGGAACCGCTTTGCTCCCCTCCGCAAGACGGAACGCGACGCTGTGATCGTCAGAGACTTTTTGCTTTAACTGAATGGTTATTGTCATGGTGTAAAGAACAGAAACTGCTCTTTGTTAATAACTGGAATCTTTTCTGGGAGCGTCTTAGGTTTTTTGCGCTGATGGCCTGCATCCCAGCAGAGTCGGAGCGGAGCTCATGTCGGACAACATCTCCAGGACGCTACGCTCCATATGACTAAGTCAAATCTCAAATAACTGCCCTGATGACTTGTGTTCTACCCGCTTAAATGATAGAAGTACTTGTGCTGTCCAATCTATAAAGACTGTGTCTGTTCCCCGAATAGTGAGGTCAAAATATAAATTTAATGCAGGATCTAGAAAAAATCTGATCGTGATTTAAACCAGAAAAATGTAAAAAATGAACAAAAACCATTTTTAAAGTTTGGGCTCCTAAACATTAGATCACTCTCACCCAAAGCAGTTATTGTAAATGAAATTATCACAGATAATATTTTTGATGTACGTGTAACGCTGAGTCAGAGGCGTGTGGATCCATTTGCAGCTTTTATTAGAATAACAGGCAGAGTAAAACAGGCAGTATTCAGTCAACAGCGTCACGTACAGCAGGGGTAATCCAAGGGAATAAACAGTGGCAAAGCGAGGGTCGGGGCAGGCGGCAGAGAATCAAACTAGTTAGAACAGTCCAAGGTAATATACAAGAGATAACAAGAAAGGGGATAAACGCTCAGAAATGTAGCCGGGGCAATACAAGACTTCGCAACCATAGAGTGTCTGAGAGCTGTTTAAATAGGGAAGCTAAGGGGGAACACCTGTGCCGTAATCAGCCCCAGGTACGGGGTGTCTGGGAAATGTAGTCCATGAACGTTAGTACTCGGGAGAGGGTGCCCTCCGGAGGCCATCGGAGAGAGCCACAGAGGCCTGATTCGTGACAATATGCCATCAGAATAGAATTTAAATAAAACAATCAAGATGAAATTGAAGTGCAGAATTTCAGTTTTAATTGAAGGGGTGGAACAAGACTATCCTGTGAAACGTTTAGGAAAAACAGTAGACAAACAGACATTTCATATTTTACAGTAAAATGCTGTAAAAAAAAAAAAAAAAAAAAAACGAATAAACGTATAATTTAAAGAAA